TACCCATGTTCCTTTCCTGCACTTGGAATAGAGAAAACTTGTAAGAGGAATAATTTTCTTCGCATTTTATTCTGTAGAGTATTACAGTATTTGTGGCAAATTTAGAAAAGCAGTGTTATGGTTTTCTGATTTTACTTTATGCATTTTATTTCTTTAAAGAAAAATATTTCTACAGAACACAGACATGAACACAGGGTCTTTGAAAGTTTAAGAGTGTAGGCTTCAGTATTCATATTTCTCAAGTGATGTAGAATCTCCCAACTCAAAGTGTGATCCATGGATTGGCAGCATCCACATCACCAGGGAGATTTGAGAGATGAAGATCCTCATTCCCCATCACAAACCTACTAAAAGGAATCTGTATCTTCGCTTGATCCCTAGTGACTTGTATGCTCAAGAAGCACTAATGTAATGTTTTTAATCCACCCAACCCTAAAGGATAATCCTTGAGAGATACAAAACTACTTTAATAGGGAAATATTGTCCATAATATTCAACCAGGAATGTAACAACTTTTATACGTGGTCCACTTAATAAAGAAACAAAAAACCTGAAGTTTATCTTGTTGCTTCTGTATAGTAATGAAGGTTGAGAAAGAGAACACATAAGTTAAAATGCCATATGTTACATGACCTGATTGAATTAATTATACACAACATTCCATTGTTTCCAACCTAAGTAGTTTCTTTTATGAGACATATAAAACTGTTAACTGTTACACCGATTTCTAGAAACATGTAGATTGCCTTAGTAAACAATTATTTAATGACTAAGTACAATAGTTTCAAACAGAATTTTTTACAGCCAGTAATAACCATGTTACTATGATGAATTCTTATTTGATACACTCCAGAAACTTTCCCACAAAAGTTCAGCCAGTACTGCAAAGTGTTACTTTCCTCTAAGTATCAATGCAAGGGAGCAAGCTGTGGGTGAAGAATAGAACTATAACTTCCACTTGAAATGCACTATAAAGACCGGGGTCAGGCTGTGAGTTAAAGAGGAAACCAGAGGGAGGGAAGGAAGATGGCTCTGGTACCTGGTGTTAAGAAATAACCGAAGTTCATTCAAGCAATTCACCAGCACGAGGCAAATTAAAGAAAGTTGCCCCTCTGCCCTGGCACACAACATACACAACTCTCAGGCCATGTATTGATTCTCTTTCTCCTATAACGCTCTCCTTAACTTAATATTAACCCAATTTGTCCCATAAAGGAACATGGAAGCCAGAGAGGTAAGGGGAGAAGGAATTGTTCCCTACTTGATTTGTCTCCCTACCATACCCACGGATATGCCCCAGGGATGCGCTAAGGCCAGCCACACTTCCCCTAGGCAACAGTGGCTTTTTGCCAACAACAAATATGCTGTAAAGCAAAATGTATCCTCTTCTTTCCTTCTAAGATCTGGATCCGGGAAGCCTTCCTTCACCTTGTGCATCTTCTCACCCGCAAACACTTTTTGAAAGACATGTTTGATAACCATCTCAGTTTGGAAAAGGGAAATGCAGGTACTGCATTTGGATTTGGTAAAACAAAACCAAACAATCTTGAGTTCTGGGACCGTACATCATTCACTTATGTATCCCCAGTCCTAGCACAGTGCCTGGCTCATAATAGCCGCTCAATAAATGGTGGTAAATTGCACTTATTTTCAAGTCTCCTAGTACTGAGTTTGTTAAATCTTGGGTGTTACATTGAAACCAGATGTTGCATTTAAGCTTATTCATTTATACACAGGCTTATGCTTTAGTCTTTCCCTCATCTTAATTATTTTCCATTTTTCCTTTGTTTATCCACCCAAAGAGCTCAGTTTCAGGGATATTTTACAGTAGTGCCATGTTGCAAATAGTAGATATGCTGAAAAGAATCTAGTCTTAAGCATCACAGGTGAATGAAAGAAAGGATCCATACATTGCTGAGATCAGGTGTTCTGTGTAGAGCAGACACAGGAAAGCAAAATTGAATATAGCGAGCAAGAACACCCCCCCCCCACACACCCACAATGAAACAACTTTTTCTTTCACTTACTAATCCTCCTTTTTCTTTCTCTGGCCCTACCCTTTTTCCTCTTTCCTTCATTTTTCCTCTCCTACCATTTTTGTGTTCTTCTTTACTTGACCTTTAGGCTAGCTAGGCACCCACAAAAAAATCAACATTTCCACAAGAAAAATCAACATTACCAAAGGCTCTCCATTTTCTATCTCATCTTCCTTATCATAAGGATGGCTCTTGTCACCAGATAAAGGATGTCCAGGTTAAAAAATAAAAAAAAAAGTTGTAAGTGGTCTTCCACCTTTTGCATCTCCCGTAATAGACCATGCTGGGTAGTCAGCAAAGCAACCCTGTATATGGGTCTCCCTATATATCAGTTTACCATGGTAAAACCCCAGTAGTCTATTGTTTAACTCAGATAAGTTTACACAGTTTACATATAAATTTTCCAAGATAACATTAGTTAACCTCTTATCTATGAGTTATCGGGAAAAATAATTAAATGCCCTATAAGATATTTTTTTAATTACCTGTTTTGAGAGAGACACCGTTTTTAAAAAAGCATATTAACAACTATACTGGGGAGAGATAGCATTAGGAGAAATACCTAGTGTAGATGACGGGTTGATGGGTGCAGCAAACCACCATGGCAAGTGTATACCTATGTAGCAAACCTGCACGCTCTGCACATGTATCCCAGAATCTAAACTAAAACAAAACAACAAAAAAAAATCAACTCTCAACCTATGAATGTATAGATCAGAAAACTCAGTTAGTGATGTCATCAAATAAAACAGGCTTTTATATCTGTCACTGTTCACTGATCAAGAGTTCTCACTTTAAGATTTTTTTAATACAATAAATATTACAATGTTGCACTTTTTTGATGTTTTTTCCTCTTCCTCTCTTCTCTGTGCCAAAGTTTATGTATTTTAATTCTCAATAAATTTTGATATGTGGCATTTTTTAAATCATATCTATCAGTATTGATGTCTTTTACTTATAGACATTGTAAGTCAAATGTTCATTTGAGAAAATATTTTAAAGTATTAGAAAGCTAATTCTACCTTTAAAATTATATAATGGTGTAATTAATTATCCCACCAAATTTGGAGTTTTTCAAATAAAATCTTATTTTTAAGTATTCTGTAAAGTATTTTATAAGCAGTGAAATAAAAGTTTTGAAACTTTGGTACCAAATCTTTCCCTCAGATTAATTTTTAAACATTTAAATCTGCATTTCAAAGCTATCTCATCATTTATACTAAATTGCCTTTAAAAGTTAACCTAAATTATAATTTTTTTAGTTTCTTTAAAAGCATTTCTTTCTAATTGTGATTGAGTAATTAAATGTAAGCCTCACAGTCTTATCAATAATATATCTATGTGGTCTTCAACAACCCAGGCTAATTAGGGAACCAATATTCTTTATACTAACTGAATTCTATTAATCACCCCAGTGATTAATTAGAGGGACCAGGCATTGAATCAAAACTAAAACAAAATTTCTCTTGAATAGAAGAAGGTCTTCTTGGTTACAAGTTGGCATCCACCTAGGGAAGATACTTTGTTGACAGGTAACCATACATAGATTTTTTTCAAAGGCCTATGATTCCTAAAAGTCTGTAGTATCTTCATTTAAAGCAGTACCCTTGATTATCATTATTATGTATAAAGTGTTCTGAAAACACATTAGTAAGCAAATCATTCCAAACCCCTTTAACAATGTTCTCCTATGTCCTGTGCAATCCGTACTTTAGATTCCTATCTTCACTACCATAGACTTCCTATCATCTTTGAATCTTTGGTATCTTCTTAAATACACCTTTGGCACCTAGTTTTTCCACTCTGTTTTATCAGTTCATGACACTTCTTTAAACGATGTGCTCCACAGGACAAAACTTCAGACACTGAAATAAGACATCTGTCTCAAACCTGAAAGAACATTATGAACCACTTCAAACAATTTCATGAATCTATCCAACTTGTTAAATAATTATCTGTCAAACTGCAGAACATAGTGACTTATCTAAACTTCACCACCATATTCATTCTGAAACAATTTGTCAAATAGTGACTGATCAACTACTATACAAAAATCAGTGCAAAGTTTCATCCAGGCAGCCTTAAATGTACTCTTAGCTAGATGAAGAAATAACATCATGTGGAATTTGTTGTTCTCATTAATTTTTGCAGATAAGGTTTCTAAAAAAATTATCAACTCACTAAAAACAAATTTTACCTGCCTACCCTTTTCCTGAGCTCCACAGCCTATAAAAAAATTAAATAAATAAAATTTAAACTCCTAAATAAAGGCCCACCACAAAATTTAACCAACCTGTAGAACTTACAGATGAGCCTTTCTGCAAGGCTATTTTATTAAATTTCACTTTTAAAGAGAAAAGTCTAAGCCCTCCCCATAAAATAGTAAAATGAATCAGTTTGGAGTAATCTGGTTGTTACATTCAGCAGTGTATTTGCAGTATGTTTGCCCCAACTTGAATTGCTACTAATGGTAAAAGGAGAATGGTGTCAAACTATTATTTGGCACAATGCTTGAAAAGTCAAAGCACTTCAGAAAGAACCAACCCTTCCTCATGTCATTTACAGAAAATCAAATGTGTCCCACCCTGCATCCTCAGGGACATGGCCTTATCAATTTAACCTGTTACTCTCATTACTTTCCAGTAAGAGTGGCAGAATTTGGAAATAGGGGCATAACAGAACATTTTTCATCTGTATAATAGTTTAACGTAGGTCCCTTCCTACACATCTTATATTTCAAAAAAAAAAAAAATCTTTGCTTCTAAAGCACTAATTCACCGCTTTATAATATGTGAACATTTTTTCTATTCAATTTGATGATTCTAAGGACTGCTGAGTAATATAACCATTGTTCTCTCCAACCAGTTCAGCATGCATCTCATCTTTGATATCAAGTGCACTGATCATGAGTGCCTTATATTAACATCTTCACTATAAACAGTTCAGGCATTTAGAAACAAAGTATCAATGAACTTAACAGTTACTTTAATTCATTTTATAAATAAGCAACTGAGAATTTTGCTCCAAGTGGCTGCTAGTGTAGCCCATTTCATAAATGGCATTCTCCGAAGCATAAGGCACAATATGATATGAATGCAGTTCTTCATAATAGAGAGACTGAGAACAGCATTCCTGTACCATAAACTTCAGCCGTTTTCTTGTATCAGAATATGAAGTCTTACAACAGGGAGCTTCTTTAAAGTATTCATAGCTCTCTTTCTCCGTCTCTAGATGTATCTTCCTCAGCAAATTGTTAATTAACACAGACCTTCTTAAGTAGGTTTCTGGGTCTTCAAGAAACCTGAGCTTCTCCAGAGAAAGTTTGAGAATGCAAGTTCTGTCCTCAGGCAATATCAGGTGCTGGAAAGCAAACACGATCATTAAATCCATATTTAGAAAAACAAAAACTATGGCTTTTTACTGTTGACAACATTTATAAAAATTAAAAAATAATAATAAGTAAACCCTTACTTTTGGAAAATAGCCATGGTAATCTTGATGTAAATCTTCTTCTTCTGCATATTTTCTCTTAAAGTAGGCTACTTTCGACGTTGTTAATGTATATGTTAATACTTTTGTTGGATAAGCTAAACAAATAAAATAATTGGGAAAGGTCATATTTTATTGTGGCAAATAGGATTTAATAATATAAATTTTATCTGTAAAAATAAACTGGTGATCCCAGAAATTGGTATTCTCCCTTCAACGTGGTAAAGCAGTGCCAATTGCCCTGTGATTGAAAAGCCTGCAGACACTAAAATACCGTTATTCAGACCCAAAATAGACATTCCAGATAAGATACTTATGTTTACTTCCTTATGCGGCCGCTCAGAAGTTAAATACCAATATGCTATTTTATTTCATACTATTTTATATCAAAACACACCCAAACTTAAAATTGAATGTAATAGGAGGAGATAAGAAATTTTTCATCATTTTTTTAGTTAAACTGCCTAATATAGAGAAGATATTTAGTGCTACTAGGTTAATCAAATTGGCATAAAATAATTGGTAGCCCAATTACACTTTAAAGAAATAACACTGTATCTATAGGCTATGATATGGTATAGCCATCGTCCTAACACACTGTTTAACGGATAAGCAAATGAAAGATCTAGGTAACGTTCTGACTGGCAAACTTGACCTTGTTATATTCCTGAAAGTGAAGATCTTTGTTTTCTCCTTTAAAATACTATTGCTACGGAGGTTCTGACTTGTTTAAGGAAGGATGGATTTCCAAAGCCATTTTTCAGTAATCGTTTAAAGGTAGTGCTTAAAGGAGTTCCTAGAGTGTACTCTAGGTGGCACTCATATCACAAAAAGGAGGCAAGATCTACATTAAAAGCTAAGGACAAGCAGCTTCCTAGAGAAAGCATTGAATGAATTTAGAGAACAAATTGAGTCCAGTTCAATACTCATTCAACCTCAGGAAACCAGGCCAGAAAGAAAGTTAATCCTTAAACATAATTTATTTTATCCTTAATACACACCCTCAAATATTTCTATATGTTGAAACCATTTAGTTCACAAAATAATGAATAATTTGTTAGTTAAATAAATCTACAGCAAGACATTTGATGTTTTTTCCTATAAAATCTTAATTTTTTCTAAGCTTAAATATTTAAAATGTGTTCAAGAATTTGCCTTTTCTAGTTTGTCCTCCAACCCAGTGGCATCTGAGCTATAAAAGCTTCCTGCAACTTTTTGTAGCCAGAGGATTTTCCTGAATCAGTAAGAAAAGCTATAAAATCACTCCCAAGCATTCTCTATTTTCACAGGCATCACTGTGGATTATTAACCCAAGAGAGCCTTAAGTTAGCATTCTTATGGTTTGTTAAGGGAATGAAGAATTTTAAAACACAGGGGGTATGTAATCTTAGAAGAAATGAATATGTCATGCTAATTCACAAATGAACTGAGGCAAAGACAATAGTTGCTACTATACATGCACAATCCCTGAATTCAATAAGCAAATTCAGCTTACATAAAAGTTTTCACTGATATCAAAAGGTTAGGAAATAATAACAAAACTGATGTATAGAAAACAAAGAAAGCATCACTGAACCTAGTTTTCTCAGGGGCTGTTAGCAAACCGCATTTTCTTTGGTATATTTTTGAAGAATTTAATCAAATAATTAGGTGAAGCTTTGAGTTATCCCTGTGACAATTACTTGCACTTCTTTTTAAAGTGTTTAACTAATTGATGTAATGGCAGTTTTCAAATGTTAGTGAGCATCAGAATTATCAGGAGTATATGTTAAACCAAATTGCTGGGTCCCACCCCCAGAGTTTCTAATTCAATAAATCTGGGCTAGGAGCAGTGAATTTGCATTTCTAACAAATTTCCAGGTTATGCTGATGCTGCTGTTCTGGGATTGCATTTCTAGAGCCTCTAGGTTGCAGCATTCAGCAGGTGTAGTAGTAGCGCTATGGCAACAAGTTAAGAACAGAACCTTCAGTCAATCAGCTGATTGCCATATCATCAGAATGCCAGGCGATTGGCTTGATTGTTGTCATTGTTGCTATTGCTTCCCTACATTGGCTTAGATACTTCAGTCTTATGAACAAAGCCAGACTGCATTTTAACTAAATAGTGAAGAACGAAGTCACTTTCCTGGGTTCACATTAAGACACATCAATGGCTATTATTAGCATTACAGCTGGGCAGGTCACTAATTGTTTTTAACAAGGTCTAATGAAGTACTATAGTGTAGGTGACAGTGAGGAAAGACTAGAAAATGAGAAGAGTAACTATCATAAGCAAATGTGACTTTCTTATATGTATCTTTTTAAAAGGTCTGCTCATTTTTACTTCCAACGTAATGCAATGTCTGCAGCATTTATGACCAATTAACAATCTTTTAACGAGTGATACAAAGGAGGACAGGTGGCAGATTAGAGAACCAAAAGTCAAAGAAACTTATAATTCTGGATCCCCAGTGCACCTTCAGGGAAGACATTCTGATTTAACAGATCAAGACCAAAAAACATATCAAATGATTCCGAGTTTCATAAAGATTGTCTGCCTGTTGTCAAGCAGTTAGCCTAAGATACTGAATGCATCAGATCCTGAAATGCAGAGAAAATTCTCAGGAATTCTAGATTTGAGTCTCAGCTCCTCCGTGGGCAACACATTTAGCCACTTAGTTTATTGTTCTTAAAACATACCCCCATGGGTTGTTAAAGTGCTAAAAAGCCTTCACACTGGTATCAGTTTGACAATTACCTTTTTGCAAGCTGTTTAGCTATTTGAAATGTTTTCAGTATCAATTTTGGAGGATGGTTCTAGCCACTTTTAGGTTAAAATATATAGCAAACATAAGTTACTACATCTGTTTGCTTGGCTGGATTAGAACTCAAAAAATTCGGAGCTGATAATTATGTATCCATCACCTGGCTCAGCCTCCTCAGTGTCCAGATGAGAAAAATACAGTCCAGAAGACTTCAGTAATTTACATTCTGGTATGTGGCTAAGGGTTTGGGTTTTGAAGTCAGATGGAAGTGGTCTGAATTCCAGCTCTGCTGCTTCTTATTTGTGTGACTTTAAGCAAATTACATAAACTCTCTAGAAATCTCATTTGTAAAGTAAGGATAGAAATAACACTGGCTCAAAGGATCATTGAAATAATTCAGAGAAAGTGACTGGCACTGTGCCTAGAATATAGTAAACATTCAATCAAATCATAGACCTTATTAGTGCCAATAGTCACAAATCTACCACATAGAAGCAAAGCCTAGCCTGGCCTCCTATGTCTGACTCAAAGACTCCACCACCCTGCCCCCCAAAGATACTAGGTTATAATCAGACAGTTAAAAAACTGTTAAGAAGATATTGCAAATGGTGAAGTTGAAAAAAAAGTAGTATGGATTCTATAACGACTCCAGATATTTCTGGTGTATTAACACTGGTCATGCAATTTGGGTGAAGGAGGGGTAAAAGTTTTTTGAAACATACAAGTAATCATCTGGATAATTCATTAAAGCTGATCTGACTATCCACAGAAGTTTTGTTGTTATGATTCAGTAAACATGTGTAAATCTGTTATCATTCTCCTGCAACTAAAAGGCCAAACTCAGCCCAGCCTATTATTCAAATAAAGGTGATGAAATAGACAAGAAAAAAAAAATGAAATGACTTTATGTCTTCATATTCTGAGTGTTCTGAGCTCTCAGAACAGTATGTAAATTACAAAACTGAATTAGACTGAGCCTAAATTTATCTCTGAAAGTGAAATGGCTAATGCTGGCTTGAATATTCACGCTGTTTCTAATGCTATATCCTCTGGGCACATAAAATATCTGTGCTAGGCTCAGTGTATCTGGTAGTATAAAACATCAATAAGCAACAAATTTCAAGTTACAGAACGGAGTGACCATTCCTGTCATTAGAGTTCTAGCAATGTAATTTATATACAATTATTTAAATAAATGTTTAAAATGTAATTACAAATGATTGCTCAAATGCTCTTCCTTATTGTTCTGCTTCTGCCTCCAGAAAACTAAAATTCTATTATCGTACAAGTGATTTCATTTGGTACATGGCCCAGGGACAGTACATTAAGGAAACATCAGCAAATTAATTTACAAACACTTTGAGATAACAGACCACAGTAAAAAGAACAACTCCTGTCAAAGTAATCCATTCTTTGTCCAAAACTGAAGAGCTGGAGACATGGTGAAGAAGAGATGAGTTCAACATATCTTAATTTTACTTTGGTTTCATTTCTCCCCACAGCATTTAAATCAAAACATTGCAAAAATAGAATTGAAACCATCCTATTAGATGTGTGCATCCTACCCACAGACAGAAGGGGTGGAGGCTGATCAATGAGGAGAAAGAAGGTGAGTTCTATCTCAGATCAACAACTGACTTGTGTTACAGATAAATCATGCACCTCAGCTTCACTATCTCTTACTGATTTTTCTTTGTAATATGTTAGCCTGGCACGAACCTTAAAAAGTACAATTGTCCCTATCTATCTAAATAATGCTTTGCTGATGGCAAAGCTACTGGAGATATTTCCTCAAGGACCATGACCACAGTTTTTAGAAAGAGTTACCCCATCTGTCCCTGCTAACCATATTCTGCAGTCTTGCTGCATGGTTTAAAATCCTTCAGCATAACCTTCTAGTTCTGTCTGACAGCATTAGTTCAAATACCAGCTCTACAGTTTATTTGCTTACTGAATTTGGGCAAGATATTTAAGCTCAAAGAGCCTAAGTTTTCTTTATCTGTCAAACAGGGGAACAATATCAAACTCATTGAGTTTTACAGGAACTAGAAGAGATGATGTTTAAAAAGCAGTTACTCAGTGCCTGTCACATGTGCTCATAATGCCTGCTCAATAACTGTTACATTATTATTACAGTGACTTCATTTTGAAATAAGTACATATCCTGCTCAGCAGCATTATATTATACCTAAGACATTGATCCTCTCTTTAGTGCTAAGCATGGGTTGCATGAAGGATTCATGAGTGTATTCAAGAAGGTAGATAAGTGCAAAGTTCAAGGCTATAATGCTATGCCTTCTGGAGACCTTTGGCTCTGCTGATGGTTAACAATATTCCATCAGCCACCTTTCTTCTCTCTCATAACCCCCTTGCCTAGCACCTTTCTGGATAATACGCTTTATGGTAGCAGAACTCAGAGCCAGGTTTTATCTCTGAATCAATGGAGCAATCTGTTTCTTCAGATTTATCATCCACCCCAAGCACAATATTGACTTTGCTGGCAGTTTAGAATTACCAACAAATTGCAGCTCCTAGAAGACTTTCTTAGGAACTTCTAGGATACTGAGAGCCACTGAATTGAAGTTTTCTCAAGATACTAGCAGCATTGCCTGATATTAGAGTGCATCCATGTCCCTTGGGATAACCCCAAGCACAAGCATGGAATAGTAGAGAAAACCCCACCAGTTCCACAAGCCTATCCTGCTCCGATGGTAATGGTCTCTGAACCAAACAGAACACATTAGGTTCCCTTAGATGCTGCACCAAAGCCAACTGTTGCCATTATCTGGCCCTGCTTATGATAGAGGCCAAGTGCAGGAGGCATCTTGGGTAAACTTTGTGATTTTCCACCACCCTCCCCCCAAGAATTGCATTCCTGATTTTAAGGAAGGATGCTACCTTTTACCCCATCTTTTACCTTGGAAAGTAGCAATGAATTAAAAAAAAAAAAAAAAAAAAACACTGTTTTCCTGGAACCACATTGTAGTATATGGGTTCCAAGAAACCCATACCTGGAGATATGCTAGACAGGTATTACAACTTCCTGCAATAATCAGGACTGGTGCTCAAAGAAGAGGGTTTTAATCCCTAACCTTTGGATAACAGTGGCCTTTCTAAAAGTACCTGATCTCTATCACTCACATTGTCTTCCACTTTTATATCACCACCACTGCTCTATGCTTGTGTATGTTAGCAAAAACATCTATCCAGGCCAATGTCACTTCTGCTATCACAGAAGGGTTGTAAAAATCTTAAGATTGAACTAATCATTAATTTTACTCACTTTAAAACACACAAGGATTTTCCTGGAGTTGGGCGACTCTCTGCCCTCACTCATATGGTACCTGATTTGTGTTTCACCTGGAGTTGCTTTAGTGGTGAAATAATTTTCATTCACAGGGTACCTTTTCTCTAAAGAGCTATAGGTGCTTCCATGTAGTATGGCACACAGCCATACTACACAACCATAAAAAAGAATGAAATCATGTCCTTTGCATCAACATGGATGGAGCTGGAAGCCATTATCCTAAGTGAACTAACACATGAACAGAAAACCAAATGCTGCATGCTCTCATTTATAAGTGGGAGCTACACTGAGTACACATGAACACAAAAAACAAACACAGGGAGGCCTATCTGAGGGAGGAGGGTGAGGGTACAAACCTCCTGTAGCCCAAACCCCAGTGACACAATTCACCCATGTAACAATCCTGCACAAGTACCCATGAACATAAAAGGTTTTTTAAAGAGCTATAGATACTTCATTACATTGTGTTATGCTCAAGCTCAATAAATCTACTTAAGCTTGTAGTCATCCCCCAAATTAAATAGAAAGACAATGAGCCATAAAGCAGTAAAATGAGGAGCACACGGAGACAGAATTGAGATTCTAGGCTCTTGAGTCTTGACTCTCTTTACAATATTTCCAACTTTTCTTGATGTTCTTTACACATGCTCCCTTTTCATAAGCACTTCAAAAATAATATACACTCCGAAATACAGCTGCGGAGCAGACTTCCCAGCCTCAAACTTGTTCTTCCTGTCCATCTAAGCACCACTGATATTTAGAAAATTCTTGTATTTCTACCAAGAAGCCTTTTTGCTACACTTTACTTTCTGTTGTTCTTTTGTTTTCTAAATATAAGGCTATCTCACAATATTGAGTACAACACTGGTTAGCTCTTACTGCTTTTCAGTAATATACTTTCACCACCCCTTCCCTCCAGCTGAGAATTATTGCAGTAAATTGGATGGTTCTGTTATTAGCCTATTTGTATAAATTTAATTAGGAAAAAGGAAAATATAAAAAACAATTGTGTTAGACTGCAAAAGGTAAACATTAATGTATTAATACTATTTAGATAAACAACTTAAAAAGAAAAAGGAAAAAGAATCGACAAGGGCTGGCTCCTCCCAAAACTCAAAGGTATCCTTCCTTTACTGCTGAATGGTTGTGATCAATTTACTCCTACCACTACTTCAGAGTTAGCAGTTTAGCTTTTTCTAGGTTTCTGAGGCATATTGCTTTGACGAATAGAGCAATCTGAACTGATGATTCCTTGGCTTTAGAGTTATTGTTGGGATGCCAGCTGACCTGAGTCATCAGTAGAGAGCCCAGGTATGGAGGTAAGGGCCTCAACCTCTTGATAAAATTTTCAACATCTCTCTGTGCAGCAAGGCATCTTCTGAATTCCATGAAGTTTATATGACATAAAATTGAACATAAGATTTTCACACATACCTAAAAACTTTCAAATAGAGTATATGAGTAAAAAAGACTGAAATTAGAATTTGGTTTAGTTTTAACCTGCATGATCTCAGCCTTATCCAAATCTTACACTCCTGAGTACATGCCCCCTTTATAACCCATTACATATACAAGTGCAGCTGGTGTTCGAATTGATGAGGGTGGCTAGATCCTTAAATAAAAAGAAGTGGATTTTTTTGCCACACTCTAACTTTGGACCACCATTGTCTCCAGGATTAAACATGGATATTATAATGATACCATTTGATTTATTTTTATTTATTCAAAGCTAGACACCATAAATTTTTCTGATGAATGACTTTTCAAATAGACCTGTTTATCAATGTTGCACAGGATATATTCCGCAGATTAAACATTTATGATAGAATCAAAATTAAAATTTAAGAACCTCTTTCATTGGCCTTTTTGATTGTGGCAGTGGTCTCAACAAAAGGGCAAACTGATTCACGTAAATTAAAGGGCATTGAATGATCTTCAACTTTTATGCATATGGCATAAGAGATAGGCTGTGTATAAATTACTAATCACACAACTAATGCATCCACATGAACCAATGATTGTGGCTGCTTTACTCAAACTTTTCTCAAATTAAAAGCATGAATGGAACTCTGTACACATCTCATGGCAGATGACGTTAAATATTATTGGTTTCCTTGGGTTTTTTACTCACCATAAAATACAGTCAGTATGATAGATGAAGGGAGAATGGTGGATGGTGCTAAGGGCTAAGAAAATGAACATTTTTGACCCTTCGAATGCTAATTTTTAAGGCTTAAAATTATTAAACTACAGATATTTAAATAAGTGACTACAGAGACCAATAATCTTAAAGTCTCGTAGTGTTTACAAATCTGTACCAGTAGACCAGAAAAAATTTTCAAATAGATTTCTGAATAAAAGTTGTGAAATATTTATTTTTATAAAGGGAGGAAAGAAATGGGATGAAATGCAGCATGGTATATTTTTATAAATTTGATTGTAATTTGCTAGGCTGGTTACCTATGGGAAGGACACAGTACATGTGAAAGCTACGTAATGCTGGAGGGTTAAACACTCATTTAAGACGTATTCAGTCTTGAAAATTGAGTTTAAAATGTTGAACTCTCATAGGTTTCTACCATCCTGACTTCATGCAAATTAAATTTGAAACACCACAATAATCTCTTTCTGCAACTTGGAGAGTTCTCTTCACTTCCTTCATTCAAACATGCACTCGTGTGCTCAGTAGGCTTCCGCTTGGCATGTTCCCGGAGCCAGGCTACCTAATTTGGCCCACCCTATTCACATGGGTCTTAGAGACGAAAATCTGCCAGCCCACAAATGTCCTTTTTACAGAAAACCTCTATTGACTTCTACCCAGCAACCTTCTATATAAACAACCCCTTACATTGATCTTGTAATGCTACATGAGCATTCATTTCTCTGGATACATATTTAAACAGTCATTTCTTTTAAGCTAGCAATTACCTGGTAATGCTGAATCAATCCGAAAAGTGTATTTCTAGAACAGCTTCAGAAAATCTGGTGAGAGTTCCCCTTTGCACAGCAAGCATTTCTCACAGCCTCAGGCTCATGAATGGTTACCTGAGATCTTGAAACAAGGAGACAGACACAAATAACATCGGGCGAGTCAGGACTGCACTAACATGAACTGGTTCTCAAGTCAGGAGAAAGCCTGCAGCAGGAGGATACTATCTAAGATATTTGAGATGGGATTGGTCTGGACCAGATAGACAGATAAACCTTCAAACACACACAATCACTTCAGTGTTCTCCAGATTTAAATTTAAACACGAGGAATCTTAACTATCCTAAGAAATTTAGAAATGACTGAATAACTCATCTTACCAGTTATTTACTTGGGAGATTATTTTTGGAAGATTATCAGTAGGATGATTTTTTCTTAAAAAATCAGAATAATTCTTAAATTTTAACGCCAGATTTTATATAATTTCAGGAAGTATTCCCTCTAAAGTAACAACCAGCAGTTAACTCAAAACAGACAAGCCTGGTCTTTCTTTGGAATGCACATTCTTTCTCACAAGAATTGAAATCACCAAATGCTACTTTTTCTTTGAAGACAGCTTTTCTTTAAAGGGCCGTGTTTAACTGCACCTTTTCTATATGGATGTATGCTTACGGATCTCATCATCTTCTATATTTAGAGAGATGCGCTTTCCAAAGGAAGATAGGCAGCCAATAAGGAGGATCCCATCAAAAGAGAGGTGAGTTACTATGGTTACTTTTCAGGAGGTTGAGTAACAGTGAAAGGCTGCTTTTGGCCAAATGGACCCTTTCCAGAAGAGGACCTAAAAAGAATGTTGCTATCCATACGTGTTGATTCAATTAGTCGAGACTACACTATGTCGTTTGAGCTTTAACCACAGGCTTTCTATGGGCGCTTGCTGCTTCCAGCTCTCCTAGACTGACATAGGCAGCCAAGTCAACGGAAAAACAAGGACTGAAAACTTCCGAACACTAGCCTAATAGCTATGAGCAGGGGAATCTTCACCCAAGAACCAACCCCACGGTTTACACTTAAAAAATCAAATCAGGTCATTTGGGACCAGCATTTGGCCACTCTTCAATGGCTGGGGGCGGGGTGGGATCCCGGAGCACGTCCCTCATCAAGGAAGGGAGTCTCTTCCGAGCCTCGCAGGAAAGCACCTGGCTGGAGGAGTCCAGACATACCTTGTGAGCTGGGTCCACTCACCAGATCGGCGCATGCACCTGTTAGGTAGAGGCGCGGGGTTCGGTGCTCACTCCTGCTTTTGCGGCTGTCACTCTTCAGTCGGGCGCTGACAGCGGCAGCAGCAGCAACTGCAGCTCGGCGGGCAGCCCTGGCTCCTGCAGGTCCGTCCCTCCAGTCTCTGAAGCGCCTCTCACTCCGGGTTCGCAGCGCTAGGCGGGCGCGCAGCTGTTCTCGGCTCGCATTGGACCAGAGGGAGCAGATGTTACCCGGTTGCTAGGAGCGTTGCTAGGAGGCGATGACGCCCCTCCACAGCTCGGGAGCAACTTTCCTGTCGGTCGAGTGCGCTGGCGGGGGCTGCTGGGAGCAAGGTGGAGAGCAGGAACGCAGAGGGGCAGCGAACAAAGAGCCCCGACAGAGGGGTCTGGGCTGCGCTCGCCTATGTTGGGGCCGGCAGAGTGGGCTGCGGGGTGGGGCTGGGCGAGAGCCGCGGGCCCGGCAGGTGAGTGGCCCCCCGCCTCCCCGGGCAGGTCACTCTCTGCAAGCCATGGTTCGGTGTCCCCTATGGAGGTTGGGCTTGGGGAGAAGAGGGGTGGGGCGGCACTTGCAGTGGCTGAGGGAGCTTCGGGTTTGGCTCAGTGGTTTTTTTTTTTTTTTAGACCCTGACACTTCCTCTGGGATACTCTTCGCCTTGAAGTAGAACCCTGAGAAGGGAAACCCGAATGAGTTCATGGGTGTGACCCGGGGTGAGGCGTTTGGGGATGAGCAATATAGTATCTTCCGCCTCTGGGACTCTCCTCCCTGGTGTGTTCGTGTTTGTGTCTGCCGGTTTGAGCACTTGATAGATTCTGAGGAGGGATATACTAACTAATCCAAAAAATCAGCCTGGAGTCTAATTCCTTTTGGCTGTCTGTGGCTGCCTACTGGCAGGGTGCCTCAGATTTAAAAAAAAAAAAAAAAAAAAAAAAGTTCTCGTGGTCTAAAATACGTCCTTCACACAGAAAGTCTTCATTTTGATCCAACAGCTAATTAAAAACTCAGGCCAACTTGTAAACTTCTTTAAAATAAACATGCACAAAAGCAAAGGTATTTTTCACAAAGGAGACTAGAGGTGTGCATGTTCTAGCACTTTAATATACTTTAGTGTACATTTACACTTCAGTATAAATTTACCCAGATGATTGCATGATTTCTCATAGCTCACTCAGCTATGTCTTTATGTTTTACATTGCTTTTGTTGTTGTTGTTGTTGTTAAATAGGGCTGTTTTCTTGGGGATGGGAGATGATTAGAACATCAAAAGTGTGCAATCTGGATAGCGAGTAAGCCAAATTAAAGAAGGGAAGACGAAAAGTCTGGTACAGAAATGTTGCCCAAGGCTATCTTCAGAGAGAATTACACTGAAGAAGAGATACACCACGTCCCTCGTTCTCTGTAGAGTCATGCCAAGGAAAGAAGAGAGCCCTACTGAGAAACAATTAGAAAAGTTGCTGTCTTTGGAGCCAGGGCAAGGTTGCTGTGCAGTGCTATGTTGATTACTGTGGTGGCTGGCACTCTGTGAGGCTGAAGGGGCTACACCAGCCGCCCACAGCTCTCAGGGCCCCATGCTTGCTCTCTCAACACCTACTGTACACTGTTTATTAGCCTAAGATTTAAAAAGCTGGTAACCTAAAATCAAACTGTCTGAAGAAGTAATAATAAGCCACAGGGCCTTGAAGATGTGATGATAAAGTTTCAGCTATTGGGTATGGCAGTGGGCTTTGAGATGGGTATCTCAAATCCCGGAGACGGTCCTAGCCAGAAATACATCACTGCTACCTCCTTCTTAGTTAGAATAAGGGCAAGATGGTGCTAATATCTCAATCAGCCTTGCCTTCTTGTCCAGCTCATCTCATGACACTCTCCTCCTTGCTCTTTAAGGTCCAGTCACGCTGGACTTTTTAGGGAAGGGTCCCACTTGCCGAAGGTATTTTGTACATGCCGTTTCTTCTTTCTTAATGTGCCTCCCTTTTACCTGGCTTACTCCTACTCAGCTTTCATGTCTCAGCTTAAATACCACTTCCTCATAGCAGCTTCCTCTGACAGCCTCCCACTGACTACATTAGCCCCCTAATTACATTCCCAATTCAGCCTACCAATCCCATTTCACAATATTCATCACACCAGATTTTAAGCTAGTTCACCTGGTTAACGCCGTGTCCCCAGTGTCTAGCACACAGTTCCTGGTACATCAAAAGTAATCAAGAACACATGGGAATAGATGAATCCACCATACCTGGTTTGAGGTCCCTGTTTTTATCCTAGCTACATAGCTACCAGCTCATGAACTTACACTAACCTTGAAGGCAGCCACTAGTTGCTGTCTTTACAGATACTCAAGTAGAAGAGGGGGCTGGGGGAAAGCTTATTATACAGAAAACAGTTTTCTTCCCTTAATGAGACATTGTATTTATAAAGCGACTTTTTTTTTTTTACTTTTCAAAACATCTTAAAGGTCACTACCTGCATTTTAATAGCATTGGGAAATACTCACCTAAAGTTATTTTATGTATTTTCCTAATTCTCCTCTTTCCATCCTCCAAAGTGGTTGTGAGTCCTCTGAGATGAACTGTTTCATTTTTCCTTAAAATACTCCTCTACCTCAGGTAAAATCAGCCTCCATAATCACATGCTGTATCTCTATGGAGAAAAAAAATGCATTTGGGAGCATCTAGCTAATTTAACCAGTATGGACAGTATGTCTAGTGTTATACTTTATCTGAATAGGCTAGGAAATATTTTCTATTGTCAGTTTAACTCACCAAATGACTGCCAAATCTCCTCTTCCTCTGGGACTACCTCAAGATATAACAAATGTTGGAAGACATGAAAGAAAGGTCAAGGTAATGCAGATCACAGAATGGCTTAATGGCATAACTGGAATTAGAAAACAGGTATGATTTTAATCTTGACTTATTTATGTCTTCAGATATAATTCGATAAATTCTGCAATTCTCCTTGTAAGATTAAAATCTTTCACTAAACAATTTTGGATTTTAAAATGTTAAATTCCATACAATCTACCTTAGAATGTATCCAAATTCCATCTTCTCACCACTCAATCTTGTCTCTCCTTGAGATGACCATAGATATAATGCCAATTCTGTCTCCTACTTCTTATCTGTTTGCTGAAAAGAATCAGATGTTTTATTATGTAGTGGAATGCACATTAAAATTTATGAGCACTGTGAAATGTCACCCAAGCTTCCCCTTGAGCCATATTTCTGAATCTTTCTGGAGCAACCCCCGGGAAACAGTAAGGAGACTATGAAGCAGCTTATAATACATATAATGTGATTTGACTTATCAATAAAATGCTACACAAGATAGTCAATTTTTTAATTACTGCAAAAGACAAAAAAAAAAAGAATGAAAGAACCAGAGTCATATATGGCCATCTCAATTATTTTAATATTTCAGAATGGGTAAGCCTGTGTTGAAGCAATGTCACAAGATAGTAATTATTTGCCAAGTTTCAGTTCAGCAGATGACATACTCTAAGATTCATATATGGGAAAATGTTTCCTCTGTATTCTTCTTCTTTTGCTCATAGTTATATTTGCTTAAATGTTTTCAGTATGCCGTATATGTATGTACCTACTAGTGCACATACACACGTAGAAATGGCCATCCTTGCTTAGCTTACCAGCTCAAAACTATTTGCCCTGTGGCTTTGGAAATGTGAACTCAAGTGGTCTTTATTTGCAACAATGCTCTTTCACAGTGTTGAAATGCTCTAAATCTAAGGTGACTATGGATGTACAAGTAGAAGGAGAACCCTTAATCAGCCCATAGTGTTCTAGTGCTGTCATGGGTTAGAAAGAACTTAGGCACCAATAAGCTTGCCATTGGCAAGCTTTTCATAAATAATCACCAGTGCAACAGTTCAAATAATTTTTTAAGTATGCCATATACTGACCTCTGAGAGTCTTACCAATACTGTTTCATTTTCTTTGGTATACAAATAAACTACAATTTCCAGCCTTTTTAAATATAGGTGGAGCCACTGGGCTAGTTCTAGCCAATGGGGTTTGGGCAGAAGTGAAGAGCACAACCTGTAAGCCTGTCCCTTAAAACACATTTGATTCTCAGGTCTTTTTTCCTTCCCCATTTCATGACAATACATTCTTTCAAAGTCTGTAAGGACTCTGAACAACCAGATCACAAAAGGAGCCTCAGTCCCTAAAATACTGCTAGGAAGAAAGCTGATTGGTCGAAAACATCCCAGATTAGGGAAAAATAAACCTTTCTTATGTGAATCAACTGACATTTTGGGTTATGACAATAGGTAGCATTGCCTCAACTAATATCGAATTTTTTAATTGTTCGAAAATTGTCACTGAAACATCCATAGATTTTTTTCTCTAATCTTTTCTGTTTGGGGGATGTCAGCCATGTTTTGAGTGCTATGTAAGTGTCTGAATATAATAGCTCAGCTCCCTCTCCTTCTAGCTTGTTGCATCTGAGCCTTGCAAACTTAGGAGAACTGGGTATTCATAGAGGGGAAAATGTTCTGGACAGGAGCTCCTCTATTGAGGAATGACATACACTTTTGTATATAAATACCTACACTTTGCATTTTGCCTTCTCAGAATCCTCTTTAGATGCAATTTAGTTAATTCATGTGATCCTTACCTTTATATAGCTCCTTACTTACCGGATGTTCTTCAAGTCAGCATTTGAACTGATACTTATTGATTTGTATATGTTCACCATACAAGCCTACAGCACCCTGAAACCAAATAATTCTAATATATATGTCTGCAGTTGGTATGGTTTTGAAGTTAATGGTTTTTGTATACACTAAAATAAGCAATATCATTCAGGCCCATAAAATTTGCATGTTGATGCTGCAAAACTGTATCTTTTTTTAACATAAAAAATTTTCACACATGTACATATAAGCCATCTGCTAAA